GTTGGTTAACAGAACTTTGTTAAATATACTAAAGCACAAATTTGTGAGGGCCACTTTGCTACTCTCCCTTGGTTCGTAAATATAAGACCATTTAGAGATTGATTTCAATATGGAGTATATGCTAGTGCTTATATTTATAACTAGGAACGGAGGGAGTAGTTGGCAATATTGCCCTGGAATTATTCATTCCTTGTCTCTTGGAACTGCTTAGGCTTGCGAGCCAACCAAAGGAGTAGCTAACTATAAAACCTTAGCCCATGCACCAAGATTCACAGGCCTCTTAGACGCAAAGATCGACAAGCGCGTCGTCTGCCCAGCAAATACATACTCGGCCGGCCATGGGAAGCTGCGGAACCAACTCCAACGGGCACGGCACAGCCGTGGTGCCGCGGCCGCACGCCCAAGGCCCTGCGGCTATGCTCGGCATCGGCACGGCGAACCCCACCGGCGTGCTAATGCCCCAGGACGTCTTCCCCGACACCCTCTTCCGCCTCACCAATAGCGACCACCTCACTCACCTCAAACAGAAGCTAACGAGAATTTGTACAACGGTTTTTCCTATTGGTTGATTGATTATAGTCCCATGCATACTACTCCCTCTGTCCCGTAATATAAGAACGTTTTTGATACGTCAAAATATTATGGGACGGAGGGAATAGTTTCCCTATTCCTAGCACCACTAAATGCTATTCCTGGTTTCCAGGCGGGAACGCGGGCATCGACAAGCGACACTTCCACCTGACGGAGGAGGCGCTGGCGGCTCATCCGGAGCTGTTCGACCCAGAGCTGCTGTCGCTGGACACGCGGGTCGACATGACCGTCGACGCTGTCCCGAAGCTGGCGCAGTGCGCGGCGGCCAAGGCCATCGCCGAGTGGGGCCGCCCGGCGACCGAGATCACCCACCTCGTCTTCACCACCTACTCCGCCTGCGGCGCCCCGAGCGCCGACCTCCGCCTGGCCACGCTCCTCGGCCTCAGGCCCACGGTGAGCCGCACCATGCTCAGCCTCCACGGCTGCTATGGCGGCGGCAGGGCGCTCGGCCTCGCCAAGGAGCTCGCCGAGAACAACCGTGGAGCACGCGTCCTCGTGGCCTGCTCCGAGACCACGCTGGTCTGCTTCGGCGCGCCCGACGGCGGCAACCTCGTCGGCCACGCCATCTTCGGGGACGGCGCCGGCGCAGTCATTGTCGGGGCCGGTCCGTTCCTCGAGGGCGAGCAGCGCCCCATCTTTGAGATGGTCCACGCCACGCAGACCACGGTGCCCAAGACCGAGCACGCGCTCGGCATGCAGGTGTCCGGCGGTGGCATCGACTTCCACCTCTCCATCCAGGTGCCCACGCTCATCGGACACAACGTCCAGGGCTGCCTCATCCATGCATTCTGTGGTGGAGACGACGACGACATCGGTGGTGCTCATCTTCCGTCTCCATTATCAGGGAACGGGAAGTGGAACGACCTCTTCTGGGCGGTGCACCCAGGTGGCCGTCTGATCCTGGACAACATAGACAAGGTGCTCAAGCTGGAGCCGGAGAAGCTGGCGGCCAGCCGGCGCGTGCTCCGCGAGTACGGCAACATGAGCGGCGCGACCATCGTCTTCGTGCTCGACGAGCTGCGCCGGCGCCGGAGCCTGCTGCCGGAGTGGGGCGCCATGCTGGCCTTCGGACCCGGAGTCACAATTGAGACCATGGTGCTCCGCTGTCCACGCTAGCTGCATCCATGGCCTCCAGTCATCATCCTTCTCAATAAAAGCCTACTTAATTATACCATTATAGGCGCCGATGATAGGAACACTTCGTATCCTTCTCCGGTGGCACTTCGAGGAAGGAGTGCCATGTTTTTTTACTATTATGATTTTTAGTGTAAAGTTTACTTTTTACTGGTCGTTCAGCGTTCAGTTCTCTTTCCATTGTACCGGCTTTGGTTTTGCTTGAAAATTACAAGATCTAAGAAGGCCTTTTGTTATCCTTGAAAAAACCATTTTTAGCTTTCTATGATTATGACATATGCATAATTTTTAATATAATAAAGTTTGTCAAGAATTTTTTTTAGAACCGCGCTTACTTAGATGGTTTACATCCGATTGCACTAGGGCAATCAATGAAGCAGGGAAAACATCAAAGAAAATTACAGTCGAAGTACTAGCCAGGCTCTCTCTGGCGCACCAGTGAGCCACCTCATTGGCCTCTCTTCTAACATAATTGAATCGTAACCCCTGAAAGTGCTGGAGATAGGATTTGATCTCGCTGATGATCGGACTACCTGTCGACCTGCACTCCGTTGCCATGTACTCATCTATAATAGTTTTGCAGTCCGTTTCGATGGTCACCCGCGTCCAGCCCTTCTCCAAAGCCAGACGCACAGCTTCCCTGACACCTAGCAGTTCAGCGCAGTATGGGTCCGTCACCCCCGACAGCTTGCAGCCCCTGGCTAGCATAAGCTCTCCGCCATGGCCCCGAGCCACCAAACTGATCGTTGATGAAACCCCATTCACGTCCACCGCAGCGTCCGTGTTGATCTTACACCATCCTTCTTCCGGTGGCTTCCATTTCTCCTTTGCGGGACTCCTCCCATCGACAGCATTGGAAGGGATGTACAGCGCTTGGATGAGTTCCTTCACTAGGACCATCGACCTCCCGCGCTGATATTTGACCTCCTCATGAGTGTATTTGTTCCTACTTGACCAGATTGTCCACATGACTGAGATAATGATGGCCGCCCGGTCTCTCCCAATGAAGCTGGGATCAAGCAAGTCCCTCCACCACGTGGCTGGGTGTAGCCGTGGAACCTTAAACTCGAAAAAACTTCTGCCTCTCTCCAGAATAACTTCGCGTGATCGCATGTCACCAGAGAATGAAACAGCGACTCCTCCTGGTTGCCGCACATTGGGCATGTAAGATCTTCCCCTACATGTCTTTGGCATAGCTCCTCCTTCGCCGGCAGGAATCCCTTAAGGACCCACCACCAGAAAATTCTTATCTTGGGTTGTACCTTCAAACGCCATAGTGATTTCCACACCTCCTCCCCCCGGGAGGAACTGCCAACCTGGTTCAAACCATTTTCACGGGATTCCAGAAGCATCCTGTACGCAGATCGAACCATGAAAATCCCGGACCTCTCATAGCCCCATGCCCAAAAATCGGGTACAACAACTCGCGGCCTTGGCATATTAAGGATGGCCATTACATCTGGGGCAATGAAGGTTCTCTCGATAACTTCCTCATTCCAGTCACCATTCTCCGTCATCAAATCAGACACAAGGCGTATGGGGTCACTTCCCCTATTACAAACTGGTTTGGAAGTTTTGCTCCCTTGTATCCAGTTATCATGCCATACCTCCGTAGTAGTACCATCACCAACTCTGCGGACTAAACCCTTTTTAAGCACCTCCCTGCCAGTGATTATGGCCTTCCACGTAGTGGAGGCGCTAGCAGGGCATCCTGCCTGCAAGAAATCTCCATCTGGGTAGTACCGACCCTTAAGAACACGCACGCATAGACTGTCTGGCCTATCCAACAGTCGCCACGCCTTTTTGGCGAGCATTGCATCATTGAACAGCTCCAGGTCCCGGAATCCCAAACCTCCCTTGGATTTTGAGATAGCCATCTTCTCCCACGATTGCCAGTGCATTCTTCTCTTATCAAGAGATTCATCCCACCAAAACTTTGACATCATTGCCGTGACTTTCTGGCATAAGCCTTTATTGAGCTTAAAACAGCTCATAGAATAGGCCGGTAGGGCTTGAATCACCGCTTTGAGAAGAACCATCCTAGCCGCAATTGACATTAGCCTTTCACAATATCCTTGTACCCTGGACCTTGCTTGCTCTTTCAAGT